GGAGAGAGAATTAAGGTAAAAGTGTGAATACCACATACAGTTTTACATATTCTTTTCATGTCAGGATTTGAATTAACTACAATACTCCCTATGTGGCCTGGTTCCTCTCAAGGTTTCTTCCTATCTACAGAGTTTTGTCAACTTTGGTCAATAAAATGATCAACAGATCTAATGTTTGTTTTGTTCCTCGTGATTCTAGAACAAGCAGCAGAACCGTATGCAGTGCAGGCCAGAATGACAGCCAGTGACAGTGTTGATGCAGGCATTGAAGAGCAGCCATACTGTGTATTTTACACTGAACTAAAATATAAACGCATCATGTAAAGTGTTGGTCCCATGTTTCATGAGCTGAAATAAAAGATCCCAGAAATGTTCCATATGCACAAAAAGCTTATACTGAACTAAAATATAAATGCAACATGTAAAGTGTTCGTTTCATGAGCTGAAATGCACGTTTCAGAGTACAGAGGGTGGGGGTAAGAACACGAGATGTGCACAACCGTGGTGGACCAGGTACAGAGATATGTTAAAACAGCGACTTACACACCCATCGTTTATATTAACCTTAAAGTAATGCTAATACAAATGTTCTCTCACACGTGTCATCTATTTTTTTTTTTATGTTGACTATCTATTATTTACCTATTCTATTACTGTCATCTAATAGTTATATTATCATTATCTGTTACCATGTGAGTTAATGTCCGTTTGTTTCTATTTCTTGTTATACTGTAGTAGTGTGTAGGGTAATTTCTTGAATTTACCTTTCAAAATGTAGCATAAGTAACTCTTTAAACAATCTGTTGGTCTCTATACCTCAACAGTATTGACGGTATTGAATGGTGTGTTGTTAACGCTGGTTGGAATCTCAGGTCCACCGTGACAGACACGGACCACATTACAGTAACACAGTGTATTATGTGCTTGATTGTACTGTACAGTCGTGGTCAATATTTTGAGAATGACACAAATATACATTTTCACAAAGTCTGCTGCCTCAGTTTTTATGATGGCAATTTGCATATACTCCAGAATGTTATGAAGAGTGATCAGATGAATTGCAATTAATTGCAAAGTCCCTCTTTGCCATGAAAATGAACTTAATCCCCAAAAAACATTTCCACTGCATTTCAGCCCTGCCACAAAAGGACCAGCTGACATCATGTCAGTGATTCTCTCATTAACACAGGTGAGAGTGTTGACGAGGACAAGGCTGGAGATCACTCTGTCATGCTGATTGAGTTAGAATAACAGACTGGAAGCTTTAAAAGGAGGGTGGTGCTTGAAATCATTGTTCTTCCTCTGTTAACCATGGTTACCTGCACGGAAACACGTGCCGTCATCATTGCTTTGCACAAAAAGGGCTTCACAGGCAAGGATATTGCTGCTAGTAAGATTGCACCTAAATCAACCATTTATCGGATCATCAAGAACTTCAAGGAGAGAGGTTCAATTGTTGTGAAGAAGGCTTCAGGGCGCCCAAGAAAGTCCAGCAAGCGCCAGGACCGTCTCCTAAAGTTGATTCAGCTGCGGGATCGGGGCACCACCAGTGCAGAGCTTGCTCAGGAATGGCAGCAGGCAGGTGTGAGTGCATCTGCACGCACAGTGAGGCGAAGACTTTTGGAGGATGGCCTGGTGTCAAGAAGGGCAGCGAGGAAGCCACTTCTCTACAGGGAAAACATCAGGGACAGACTGATATTCTGCAAAAGGTACAGGAATTGGACTACTGAGGACTGGGGTAAAGTCATTTTCTCTGATGAATCCCCTTTCCGATTGTTTGGGGCATCCGGAAAAAAGATTGTCCGGAGAAGACAAGGTGAGCGCTACGATTAGTCCTGTGTCATGCCAACAGTAAAGCATCCTGAGACCATTCATGTGTGGGGTTGCTTCTCAGCCAAGGGAGTGGGCTCACTCACAATTTTGCCTGAGAACACAGCCATGAATAAAGAATTGTACCAACACATCCTCCGAGAGCAACTTCTCCCAACCATCCAAGAACAGTTTGGTGACAAACAATGCCTTTTCCAGCATGATGGAGCACCTTGCCATAAGGCAAAAGTGATAACTAAATGGCTAGGTGAACAAAACATCGACATTTTGGGTCCATGGCCAGGAAACTCCCCAGACCTTAATCCCATTGAGAACTTGTGGTCAATCCTCAAGAGGCAGGTGGACAAACAAAAACCCACAAATTCTGACAAACTCCAAGCATTGATTATGCAAGAATGGACTGCCATCAGTCAGGATGTGGCCCAGAAGTTATTTGACAGCATGCCAGGGCGGATTGCAGAGATCTTGAAAAAGAAGGGTCAACACTGCTAATATTGACTCTTTGCATAAACTTAATGTAATTGTCAATAAAAGCCTTGTAATTATACTCCAGTATACCATAGTAACATCTGACAAAAATATCTAAAAACACTGAAGGAGCAAACTTTGTGAAGACCAATACTTGTGTTTTCAGTCAGACATTCACGCTTGCCATACAGAGTTGAAATTTCTAGCCAACATTTTGAATTGAATAACATTGCTTGTGAACTTCAGAGCTGTAATGATTTTACACTTTGGATATGGTTAAAGGCAAGTACAAATGCATACTAGTAGTCATCGCTCCTGCTCGAAAGTCTACACATTCTAGATTAAATTTTAATTAAAAAAAAAAAAATTGTCATTTAGCAGACGCTCTTATCCAGAGCGACTTATAGGAGCAATTAGGGTTAAGTGCCTTGCTCAAGGGCACATCGACAGATTTTTCACCTAGTCGGCTCTGGGATTAGAACCAGCAACCTTTCGGTTACTGGCACAACGCTCTTAACCACTAAGCTACCTGCCGCCCCTCATCATCATCTCACTAGCTTCTTCTCTGGTGAGCTGTCATTGGCTATTGCTGATCACGTTCTCAAAACTTGTCGTTGCACATCTCACACTACAAGAGCATTGCAGATTTTGTGCTGATAACATCAAACATGTTTGAAAATATCGGGACGTCTGGGACTGCTCAAAGACGGGATCGGTAGCCCTCAGATTGCATCTCTGAGGGTTACGCATCCCAAGTAGGCAACGACATGGGGGGTTTGTCTCTGATCTCAAAAACTTGTCTGGGACAGCTAAATCGGGCCAAAATTGTGTAGCGTACACCCAGTTTAAGACAAACCCTCAGCGCCGCAATACTGGTCGACCAAACAGAGTATCGCCCAAGTTTGTACTCTGTCACAAGTAATTAAAACAAGGACAAAACCCAAACAAGATGGCACAAGCCAAACCGAGTGGGGCCGACAGCAGAGCACCCAGATGGAGAGGCTAGCTGCTCCAAGCTATTGAATAGCTGCAGGTATACTTCTGCGCTTATACACTAACATAGCGCTCTTACCAAGCGAATCCTCTCTGGAATGAGCCGAGAAAAAGCAAGAGGTGAAAGTAGCGCGGCGGCAGCTATTTAAGGGAGCCTCAGCACTACCCGGTACATGGGACTAATCTGAAATCCTTACTTGGAATGTATCCTGCCGCGCGCAAGGATACCATATTGGAGTGATAAAATATAGTGCTACATAACGCCGTTCAATCAAAACCATCTAACCTATAGCAGAGTATTTGACACATCCACTCCTTTCCACACGCCCACTACTTTCCTTTCGACAAACCCATTCCTTTCCACATGCCCACTACTTTCCTTTTGACACACACTCCTCATACTCCGATTGCTATATTGACATGCAGCTACCCCCTTCCAGCCCGCTTCTCGTTTGCTTACTAACGAAATGACACACTCCTCGACCACTCAACCACTTATTGGTTTCCGGGTCACGGAGGAGAGAGGACGGTCTTTTTCCCAAACGAGAAAACCCCTTAGTTTCAGGGCAAGTGCACTGTGCCATGAAGTAAGAAAGGGTGCACAGCTCCTGCTTCTACCAGATATATAATATTTTTTGGTTCCACCTTGGCGACCCATATGTGTTTTCCATAAAAACGTCTCCAATGCAGATTTTATATATTAATTATAACGTTTTCCCTTGGGGTTTTCTCATTGGGCAAAAGTCTGTCCTTTCTCCTCCATCCTCTCTCCTCCATGACCCAAAACCAATGTGGTCGAGGAGTGTGTCAATTCGTTAGTAGGCAAACAGAAGTGTCCTTCCCTCCTCGATAGCCACCTTTCATCGAGGATACTCGTGTATCCTACCACAGAAGAGTTTGAAATCTGCCACACCCCCTTTGAATCAGCTTTAGTTTCGTCAGAGGAGAAAAACATTTACACTTTTTAAAACAATATTCTACTTAGTTTTATCTATAAAATGTATTGCACAACAATCTTTTTGCACTTTACACATTTATTTTGGGATGCATCCCAGTAAACCTAATTTGCCTAATGATGCCCCGAGTGGAGAAGGACCGTCTCATTTCAAGCAAGAGTATTTCCATCCACGTTCACTCTCCTCGCCGACTCTCCTCGATTAACTGTGACTTTTTTCAGGAGGAGAGAGGACGCAGTCTGGTGATGAAATCTAATTGATTAAAGGCCCTTGTTGTGAGACATCCTTGACACACGATGGCGCTGTTCGCACAGCAATCGGTGGAGACATCAAGACCTTTCCGCAGTACTGTCAAAGATTTGCATAACTAACCCAAGATTGACCACAGCCTGTCGTTTCCAATGGGAGCAAATGAATCATAGTGGGCAGAACAAGCAATGAGGTGGGCAGAGCCAAGCACGAGCTAGCAAGATCCTATTTGGCTTGTTCTAGCATTATTTGCATATTTCCGTTAGGGAAAACTTTGGCAAAGGGTAAAGTCTACAAAACTTAATCCACTTCCTAACAGATTGTAGTTTTGGGAACAGTATTGAGATCAAATGTTTAATCGATGAGAAAATTAGCAGAATATCGTCCAAAATCCGTCTCGCTCCATCTTCTCCCACTGCCAGCCAATGGGCTTCTTCTCATCACCATATTTGGTGGTGAGTGGAAACGCCAACCGGATGCTTCAGATTTATACATCCGGTGAAACATCTGTCTCACTGTTCTATCTGTGGTACTGTCTTTGCTACCCCCGTAACCATTTTCTAGAATTAACGTGCAGATAGTCATAAAATACGAAATTCGGTACATTTTCACGAGGAAGTATTGCGAAAAATGAGTGGAATTCCAGGCACCGCTGTCATTCAAATCACCAATCTGTCGTCTGCCGTGAGTAGTGAGCAGATGCGCACTCTCTTCGGCTTTCTTGGGGACGTCGAGGAGTTACGGCTTTACCCTCCGGAGTAAGTGCTATCAATTCGGCGTGCCTAATAAAGAAACACCCGGGATCAAGGGCCTACTCCGCACGTTTACCATTGGTGTAGCTAGCTACTGGAGTTTACTTCATGTAGATAGATAGGCATGTATAACTAACGTTGACTTGTAAACTGCGTTCATGCAACATCCATTACATTTCTAATACATGTCTGTGTTCTCTTGCAGTAATGCACCACTCCCCTTCTCGTCCAAAGTATGTTACATAAAGTATCGAGAGCCTTCCAGTGTTGGCGTGGCGCAACATTTAACCAACACTGTATTTATTGACAGAGCTTTGATAGTAGTCCCATGTGCAGAAGGTGAGTATGCCCAAGTTCATTCAAGTGATGTTGTTGACATAATTACATTTACATTTTAGTCATTTAGCAGACGCTCTTATCCAGAGCGACTTAGATTTTTAGTGAATACATACATTTTCATAACGAGTGTTATGTGTAGTCAACACACTTCCTGTGAAATCGTGTTGTCTAGTGGTTGGTGAAAGCGCTGAAATTCTAACGTTAGTATCCTACATTCAAGTGTTTCTCTCCAGTGTTTTGCTGTGTTGGTTTCCATTAGGAATACACATGAACACATGCGCTTCCACACTCACGCGGTATCCAAGATGGCCTAATCCATATTGAGCACACAATTTATCCTATGCACCTGTCACAACTAGCTAGATATAAGCATTGTGTTTTGTCATGGGGCTTTACACAGTATGAAAATAACATGATCATTCGCACGCACCATGGAAGGCACATTGTAGTAGCAGGAGCAGACATCTTAGCATAACATCAGACTAGTACCATCTCACTGTATTCAATGACAGTTTATGCTGGTCTGGCAATGTATCATCCATATTCTTGCGAAATAAAACTTCACTCAGATTCTGATGTTAATGACATAGGCTGAAGTGATTGTTATGGGTATAATGCTTAGTGATATGGAGGTGATTTCAAGGATATGGTAGAATAACATACTAAATAATTAACAACCTCTTTTCTCTCTTTTTATTTTGTTTGAATTTTTTGTTGTTGCTTGATCTCCCTTTCTTCTAGAACCTTCTCTTTTTCCGTTATTTAGCTTCTCAGAAAAACAAACAAAAGTGGTCTCACCTTATCTAACCGATTCTCTCACTTGAAATGCTTTTTTGTCCACGTTAACTTAGTGCTGGATAGCTACTGAGTTTATTAATTTGGTTTTGTATGTTTTTTCTGTGTGATTATGTGTGCATATCAGATGACTAGACTGGCCCAGCTGTTACACTACACTAGCCTGAGTCAGGCATTGTTTTCCAAGCCACTATCCCCGCTGGGGCCACCGCTGCCTTCAAGGGGGGAATGTGACCAAGGAGAATAAGCCTGCTGAACCTTCCAAGATGGACACCTTGTCTCTCTATCTTTTTTTTCTTTCTTTTTTTTTGGTTGGTTTCTTTTAGTTTTTACTTTCACATGTTGTCCCTTGCCTTGTCTGCTCCCTCTCTAGACTCTAGCTACACTATTGAATTATTCCTAGCATATTGTTTTTCCGTTTATTATTTTTGGTTTGTTTTCTTTTTTTCTCTCTCTCTCTCTCTCTCTCTCTCTCTCTCTCTCTCTCTCTCTCTCTCTCTCTCTCTCTCTCTCTCTCTCTCTCTCTCTCTCTCTCTCTCTCCACAGTGTGTGATTAAGTTCTGTTCAGGTTGCCATGGCACCCAGGTGGAATGTGTATCACACATGGGCTGCCATGAAGATGACTAACACATTTTACTTTCTTTGTCTCCTGCTCTTGATCTACGGTTAGGATTTCAAATATAGGGCTAATCTAAACCTTAAACTCACTAGGAGAAAGTATCATTTAACTTATAATAAGTAGTAGAATAGAATAAGTAGCCTATGCCCACATCAAATTATTCCAGTCTTAATTATTGGAGGGCAAAGCACCTTTTATTTTATTGGTAACATGATGCTTATACTGATAGTAAAATAATTTGATTACAGATACTTTTTTTGTTGTTGCCCTTAAGCCTTTGTATGTGTATTTGTATTTATTATGGATCCCCATTAGCTGCTGCCAAGGCAGCAGCTACTCTTCCTGGGTCCATCAAAATTAAGGCAGTAAATTATCGTAATTGTTTATTTTCTTCTCTAAAACAAAGCCACTAGATGAATTGAAAGACCCACTGCGCCCTTCCCCTTTTCCATTCAGGAACGGCAGATTGAACCAGTAAAAAGAAAGTGAAAGATTTCGAATCCGTTGTTTTTAGGCTATAAGTTTTGGTTACATTTGGGAATTTCTCAAGATTCTTAAAAAATGTTCTTCTTTTCTGTATCTGATGTTCTGTGTGCTATTAGTGATGCAGCCATCATGAACGGTTGTCTTGTGTTGCACTCCTTTCCAACACTGCGAAACGATCGCCCTACGGGAAAAGCGCCCATGCTTGCTATCGTATGGTTCATGACCAATATGTTTCCAGTACAGGTGACCCATACCTCAAAGTGTTCTCTGCATTATTTTTTGAATCTATGAAAAAAAGAGGACAAAAATCAGGATTTTCCTTTCGTTTGTGAGGAAGAAGTCATGTTAACGTTTTTGTCTGTTCATAGCCTGAATGCTAAATGACTGACTTATTACAGTACATTTTACAAGTAGAGGGAAATCACACTGAGGATGCTCAACCTTTTTTAACATCGGCTCTGTTAGACTCCTCAGTAACCAGCCAATAGAGCTAGGTCTATGTATGAAGAAGGATTATGTTCTCTCTCTCTCTAGAATACTGGGGCTATAACACTGCAGTCATAGAGGACGCAGAAGGGGTGTGTCCTGCCACGACCTGCTCTAACTCCTCCCCTTGTCCCACAGGGAAGATCCCAGAAGAAGCCAAGGCCTTGTCTCTCTTGGCGCCTGCTGCCCCCCTTGCTGTTCCTGCTGTACCCAGCCTGATGCCAGGCGCCGGCCTGCTGCCCCTTCCCACCCCGGCCCCCATACAGACTGTGAGTTTGGGGTTAATAGACCATACCAGGGCGCTCAATTTCCGGTCCACGGACCGACTTTGGTCTCTGGGATGTTGCTGACCGGTCCCACAGAATAGTTGTGACACATATTTAGTCAGTTCTCAAGTGTTAGTTTTAATGTAAGTAGTCTTCCAAGGAGTTCCATAGCTTGCCAGGCCTCTGGTACAAAAGAGATTGAGAAACACTGTGCTATACAACTATTGATCAGTAGGGGGTGCATTGCTTTACCATAGACCAATTTACTAAGCTCTACAGCACCTGTGCAACATTTGGGCCTTTTATTTTCAGAAGTGAACAAATGGCAATCAAACCTAAAGATATCTTGAAACCGTGTTTATGTGCGGTACATCTTACCTGAAAATCTCTCTTAATCTTTATTCCACCTTTCCATCTGCCTAGTAAACCTTGCTCTATCTGTTTTTGTAACTGCAGCCGCTGAGTGTCCCCATAGTGAGCCTGGCGGCATTGCCGGCTGCCCTGGACCCTTCAGTGTCGGCCCTGGCTGTGACTGGAGCAGGTGGGGTGTCGTCCTCCGCCCAGCCCCCCCTCATGGGGAACGTGGATCCCTCCAAGGTGAACGAGATAAGGAGGACTGTCTACGTCGGCAACCTCAACTCGCAGGTAACAGGGACCCAAAGAGTAACTGAAGTTCTGTGACAGCTATTCACATTTTCATATGTATTTCCCATTGACATGAATGCACCATTTAAGCTCAAAAGTCAAGTAAGGGTTTGGCACTTGGAAGAAGCTCTTTTTGTGTTGTTTTTTTTTATAGTTGAAAGGTTATCATTTGTCATAGGATGATGCCATAATCTTATGACACTTACAGATGTAGGATCTTCATTTGAGGCAGTTTGCTACAGTAGGAAAATAATCCTGCTGCAACAGGGAATGTGAATTATTATGTGGATTTTAATTCATGGATATTTTTTGTAGGGATTGATACATTTTACTTTAGGGCAAATCAAGTCCGAAATTGTTAAAGCTTTAGAAGCCTTTTTTAACGTTGAATACACTACAAATTCTCATCAACAAAGGGTGATCAAATTAAAGATCCGACATCTGTATCTTATTACATTAATGTTAAAATGTGCTCTCTTCTCCCTCCATAGACCACTACTGCAGAGCAGCTGCTGGAATTCTTTAAGCAGGTGGGCGATGTCAAGTTTGTGCGCATGGCGGGGGACGAGACGCAGCCCACACGCTTCGCCTTTGTGGAGTTTGCCGACCAGGATTCGGTGTCCAGAGCGCTGACCTTTAACGGAGTCATGTTCGGGGACAGACCCTTGAAGTACGTCTCATAAAGTTTTTGTATGTTGTGTATCTCGTCTCAAAATAGTATTAATGGGGATACACCTATGTGTTACCCTGTACACTGTTATTGTGGAATATTGGTTGTGATGATTGTGCTTCTCTCCAACTTCAAGTTAAATGAACAGTTGACATTCTCTGTGGTAATACTAACGCACATTGCTCAATACTGTGCTGTCTTTGCAATCGACAAACGTAACAATTTAGTCTTATGCCTCTTAAGTGAATTGTTTTCCATGTCTGTGATTTGCCTTTCTGTGTTGTGACTTGATGCTCACTAAGTTGCGTTAATGTTATATAACATTGTGTTTTGGTCAGGATTAATCATTCCAACAATGCCATCGTGAAGCCCCCAGAGCTGACCCCTCAGGCTGCAGCCAAGGAGCTGGAGGACGTAATGAAGAGGGTCAGAGAGGCCCAGTCCACCATCGCCGCCATCATAGTAGAGCCAGGTTAGAGGTCAATCACTGTCGGCTCACTGGCATCCTCACGGGTACCCTTGTAGCTTTTTTTGTGTGAAAATGGTTGGATGGTATGAAAAGATTTTAGGTTTATGCCCAAGCCAAACACGTCCTAAATTTGATTTATTTAAAAGCACAATTTAAAAGGACAACTCAAAGGCACAGATTTAGTAATTAATACAAATGCTCAGGCTTTACTGCAGATGGAAATACAGGTATAGGAATAGATACAGGAGTGACGTTTCAACATTACATGACATCTTCCACAGACATAGATTGGTCTGATGGTATGACTAGTCTGACCAATCACTTCCTGTTACAGAGGAGGTGAAGAAACGCTCATCCAGTCGCTCACGACGGTCCAGGAGATCCAGAACACGGTCACGATCGCATTCCCGCTCGAGAACGAGGAGGAAGCGGTCCCGTTCCAGGCACAGGTACGTACGCTACGTGATTGACGAATTCCTCTCACAGGCAAATAAAGTGAACTTGATTTGGTCAAATAATATAAATTCTCCCCTTTCTTGCTTTCTCGTCTACAGAAGCAGGCTCTCTCAGAGGTCGCGGCCCAAGGTCAGCGAGTCCCACGTCTCTCGGGGCATCCACAAGAGACTTTCGCGCTCCAGATCACGGTAGAACTACTACTGTTGGGTTCCCCAACTATTTTACATTGAGATAAGCCTGAAGGCTTTTGTAAATAAAATACATCTTTGAGGAAATCTTTAGTCATGATGATGGCATTCATTCAAGCCAAAATGTGTATAGTTTATATTATTTTGTTAGTCTGCATAGCACCTTAAAGGGCGTGCATTCTTTGATTCTTTAGCTTTAAGCCACGATCCAACATTTGGTAAATACTGTGTTTTAGCAGCAGTGCCAGTATGATGTTGAGTTTACTCATTGAATCACTAGGCTCTAGTCTCTCTGTCATGGATTGTACCAGCTTGTAGAACAAAGGCATCTAGGAAAGGAGGGAGTGACACACTTTCTGGTGTACTGCAGGGACAGGCGGAAAGAGAGGGAGCAGAGAACTAGAGGAAAGGAGGATGTCTCTCGGATTATAGAGCATAGGCAGAAGGAGAAAAAGGACAAAACACCTCCAAAAAGCTACAGTGCGTCCCGAAGGTCCATGAGCACGAGCAGGTCAGTAGAACACCATACTATACATGCTTCCAGTTTATTAGGTACACCACCCCTTTCACAAAAATGGTTCGCTCCTACAGACAGTGAGTCTTGTGGCTTGCTATTTAAAGCAGGCAGACGGGCATTGAGGCATTTTTACTGTTCGATTGAACATTAGAATGGGCAAAACAAGTGACCTAAGTGACTTTGAGCGTGGGATGATCATCGGTGCCTGGCGCGCCGGTTCCAGTATCTTAGAAACGGCCGGCCTCCTGAGCTTTTCACGTACTCCAGTGAGTACGTTTATATGTACACTAATAATTCGATATTAAACTGATTATGGCAGTAGGCAGATTATGCTATAGTCATGTAAACACTTTACTCTGCTTATCTTAATCGGCGTTAAGGTCAAAATCGAAGTAAGCATTCGCCGATTAAAACATCTGGTTTTCTGACCATTCTTTCTAATGATTAGGACATGTAAACACGTTAATCGGCGTTCCAGCTGTGTATTTGATCTGTGCATGTGCTAGCACCAGCTGAGCCTCCCTCTTTAGCGCGAGTGAAGTGTGTTCGGAAAAACTAAATGTCTGTCTTAGAAGTTGTTTTCACATACAAACTTTATATGTTCGAACTCAGAATCAAATATCCTTCCCAATAATAACATGTTCACTGTGGTAGAACGTTTGTTTTGCTTGGTGATTTTCTGCATTTATCAGAGTGCTATCAGGTAGCCTGGTTTCAGATGTGTCCATGTAAACAGAATTATTAGGTAAATCGTTCTTCTTGCAAAGCATGTAAACGTTTTAATCGAACTATTATATTAATCTGACTGTCCATAATAATCGCATTATTGTGTGCATGTAACCGCACTCAGTGTCTAGGGTTTACCGAGAATGATTCGACAAACAAAAAACATCCAGTCAGCGGCAGTCCAGCTCGTTGATGAGAGGTCGAAGGAGAATGGCAAGAATTGTGCAAGCTAACAGGTGGGCCACAAACAGGCAAATAACGGCGCAGTACAACAGTGGTGTGCAGAACGTCATCTTGGAAAGCATAACTCATCAGTCCTTGTCACGGATGGGCTATTGCAGCAGACCACACCGGGTTCCACTCCTATGAGCTATGGGCACGCGATCACCAACAACATTGGACAATTGAGGAGTGGAAAAACATTGCCTGGTCTGACTAATCCTGGTTCCTGTTGCGTCATGCTGATGGCAGAGTCAGGATTTGGCGTAAGCAGCATGAGTCCATGGCTCCATCCTGCCTGGTATCAACGGTACAGGCTGGTGGTGGTGGTGTACTGGTGGGGGAATGTTTTTCTGGCACACGTTAGGTCCTTTGATACCAATTGAGCAACATTTCAACGCCACACCTTGTGGAATCCATGCCCCGAAGAATTCAGGCTGTTCTGGAGACGTACCTAAAAAAACTGGCCATTGAGTGTATATAGTATATCTAGCTGAATATTTTCTAATTGATTTATAGTTATGCACACATCTTAAATTGGGGTTGGGCCCGTTGATGGAACAAAAATACCTATTTGTTCAGCTAACACACTATATAAAATGGGGACCAAACTGATGTACTCACAATAATAAAATCCATAGGCCTGTCTGAGAGCGCTCGATATTGACTAAAACGCCCAGTTAATGATAAGAAATGTTGGTGTAAATTATTTTCAGGGGCCACAGAAGGAAGAGCAGGGATCGCTCTAGGAGTCCCAGAAGGAAAGCCAGGTCTCCGTCACCAAAGAGGTACAGTAAAACAATGTAGTACAACGGGACCATTCAACACAACAATCAGCACCACCGAACACCACCACAACCAAGCCCATAGAGTGTGAATCCTAACTTGAGATACACATGTGTAACTTAAATCTTGCATTATGGTGGTCTCTGGAAGATTCGCACAAACAAGACATTGGATGACATTACTCTGTTGATCAATAATGGTTGTGTTGATGTTTACATTTGTAGAGGGAGGAAAGACAAGAAGAGGGAGAAAGCAAGGGATGGCAGTAGGGAAAAGAGGGAGAGGTCCAACTCCAGGAGGAAGAGCAGCAGAGATAAAGAGAAGATTGAGCTCAAGGCCAAACCTATGAAGGTGAGAAGACTGATGCTATAGTTGCTGACTTCTGAATCCACTCTTGACCGTAAGTGCACTTGTCAGGAGTTGACTGTATTTGTGTCTATTATCGCTGTCCTTCAGGGTAATGTTCTGCTTATCACTGTAATTAGCATAATATCTGCACGTCACCAAGCCTGTCTCAGAAAAACACTGACCTACTTCTCACTGACTGCACTAACGATCAAATCTCTGTGAAACTCCACTCTTCAGAATTGATAACAATCTGCAGACAGCTTACTAGGGGTTCCTCACAGTAAACTTAGTTTGGACACTTTTTTTCAACCATGGGGGACTAGTTACATTGAAGTATGAAATACCAAGAAAAAGTATGTGGTGTGCAATAGAATAGTTCAGATCAATAGTTTGAGGTGAGGCAAACTAAAAGGTAAGGACTGAGTTTTGCAAGAGTGCTTTTAGACATGCTTCCCCATCATCCTGTAACTCTTTGCAAAAGGACTTGAAACTTAAAAATTGTATTACAATTGAGGATTTGAATCACACTAGAATCACTGCTGGCACAGGAATGATCATGTTGTTTTTACCATGACTCATGCTCTTTCTATGCTCCTTTATGACAAACGACTGCGCTGTTTTTACATGATAAGTATTCAGACCTCTTGACCTTTTCCACATTTTGTTACGTTACAGCCTTATTCTAAAATGTATGAAATTATTTTTTCCCCTCATTAATCTACACACAATACCTCCTAATGACAAAGCGAAAACATTTTGCTATGAGACTTGAATTTGAGCTCAGGTGTTTCCTGTTTCCATTGGTCATCCTTGAGATGTTTTTACAACTTTGAGTCCACCTGTGGTAAATTCAATTGATTGGACATGATTTGGAAAGGCACACACCTGTCTATATAAGGTCCTACAGTTGACAGTGCATGTCAGAAGGGTACCAAAACATTTCTGCAGCATTGAAGGTCCCCAAGAACACAGTGGCCTCCATCATTCTTAAATGGAAGACGTTTGGAACCACCAAGACTCTTCCTAGAGCTGGCCGCCCGGCCAAACTGGGCAATCGGGGGAGAAGGGCCTTGGTCAGGTAGGTGACCAAGAACCCGATGGTCACTGACAGAGCTCCAGAGTTCCTCTGTGGAGATGGGAGAACCTTCCAGAAGGACAACCATCTCTGCAGCACTCCACCAATCAGGCCTTTATGGTAGTGGCCAGACGGAAGCCACTCCTCGGTAAAAGGCACATGACAGCCCACTTGGAGTTTGCCAAAAGCATCTGAAGGACTATGACCATGAGAAACAAGATTTATTGTCTGTTGAAACCAAGATTGAACTCTTTGGCCTGAATGCCAAGCATCATATCTGGAGGAAACCTGGCAGCATCATGCTGTGGGGATGTTTTTCAATGGCAGGGACTGGGAGACTAGTCAGGATCGAGGGAAAGATGAACGGAGCAAAGTACAGAGAGATCCTTGATGAAAACCTACTCCAGAGCACTCAGGACCTCAGACTGGGGCGAAGGTTCAACTTCCAACAGGACAACGACCCTAAGCACACAGCCAAGACAACGCAGGAGTGGCTTCGGGACAAGTCTCTGAATGTCCTTGAGTGGCCCAGCCAGAGCCCGGACTTGAACCCGATCAAACATCTCTGGAGAGACTTGAAAATAGCTGTGCAGCGACGCTCCCCATCCAGCCTGACAGAGCATGAGAGGATCTGTGAGAGGTGTACCAAGCTTGTGGCGTCATACCCAAGAGGACTCAAGGCTGTAATTGCTGCCAACGGTGCTAAAACAAAGTACTGAGTAAAGGGTCTGAATACTTATGTAAAGGTGATATTTCCGTTTTGTATTTGTAATACATTTGCTATAATTTCAAAAAATCTGTTTTTGCTTCGTCATTAAGGGGTGTTGTGTGTAGATTGAGGGAAAGTAACAATTTAATCAATTTTAGAATAAGGCAGTAACGAAACAATGTGGAAAAAGTCAAGGGGTCTGAATACTTTACACATTTTTTTGTGTGTATTATGTTGTGTAACTAAATGTACTGTTTTCTTGGCCAGGGCGCACTTGAAAAATAGATATCAATCTCAATGTGACTTCCCTGGTTAAATAAAGGATAATGTGACTTCCCTGGTTAAATAAAGGATACATTAAAGTACAGTCACATGTGGTCCTGTAGTCAGTAACCTTAGGTCTCAAATGTTTTCACTGTGGCCCTAGTGTTTTCTGTTTTTCCACCTAGTAAAGTAAGGCCTGCTCTAATTGAAACTAGTTTAATTTCAAACATCATCCTTTGATCAGGTGGAAAGGGACTACGACAGGGAGAAGGACTACCAGAGTGACAGGGAGGGGTCGGCCACACCCAGCGAGGGCGTGACATCACCCTGCGTCCATCACAATGGCAGCTACAACACAAACACAGAGGATGACGCGGCCTCGCTCGCCGACAGCACTGAGTGATGGGTGTGAAACCAGGCAAAACCATGGGAACGAGAAAGTCCACTATATATCCAGCTCCTGTGATCTTTACCTTGGTATTACATACACACACCCCTTCCTGTTCCCCAGGCTGGCACAAGTGTGCCAAAAAACCAATAGATCCTACCTGATTATTTTCCTGGTTCCAGTTTCTTGGTGTGTATTTAGTGTTAGACTATATAAGAGAATGCTGACCCGCTATTCCCATTGCTGTGAATCTGTTGTCACATGATATTCATATTGAAAATAGACCTTAACGTGCACAGCTTGTTTTTATAGAAGTGGAGAATGTGTGCTTTCCCCCAGTAAGAACTGTGTTGAACATAACATGCTTGTGGTTTATTTCCTGTTTCTTGGTTATGTTGGTGTTTGTGCTATCGTGCAACACTTAATCTATTTTGGTTACTACTAGATGCAAGGTCTCTGTTTGTGCACAATATCTTAGTTTGCACCCAATGTCAAAAATGCGGTTATTTTAAAATTCTTACAAAATCAATATTTCTATAAAGTAATATTATGTGGAAGATCTTATAATGCAAGGTGTCTAGTGTCTGTTGGTGTTTAGAAAGGCCTTTCCCAAGGCTTCAATCAGCTTCATGGTTCAGCATGCCAACCCTACAGTATACAGAGGTTGAACTTGCTTGACACACAGGAACAAGTTAACAAATCCCTGGCAAGCACATACAAGTCAAAGTGCCTAGACTGAAATTGTACAAAAATACACTAATAATAAACTTTATGAAGTTATTGAGATGCAAGTTGAAGACGTGATGGTATTCTGCTCAAGCAATCGGGAAAAGTTGTTAGATATGAGTGGTGTTTTCTTGGATACAAACAGCAAGCGTAATGTTCATAAAGTCTCAGTTTTCCCAACCCTAATTAAGTTATATTTGTAGTTTTGGTGGTGATGGATTCCAGTGTTTTGTGTGAACCCAGTGGCCATGGGGAACCCTGCAGTACAATTTGGCTCCAGTTTATCAACAGTATTTTCTTTTGAACCAGAGTTTTTATCAAAGATATGTATGTGTTGCAGTGTGTATGTAGTACAAGTTGACTCAGGAGTGAGTGAACATGGTTTTCTCTTCAGCCAAATGGTGTTTACGTATACAGTGTCTATGCTTCGGATTGAAGGACCTATCTTTTGCAGAGTTAAGAGATACATAAGGCATTGGTCTGAGGTGTTTTATCATTTAAATGGTCTTAATGTAGGGTAAAAACAAAAAAACTCCACAACATTCATGACTGACATCCGAAAGGATTGTGTAAAGAATTTATTTTTTATATTCATGTGTATGTGTATATATATCTATATATATAGATATATATACAGTTGAAGTCAGAAGTTTATATACACCTTAGCCAAATACATTTAAACTCAGTTTTTCACAATTCCTGACATTTAATAATAGTAAAAATTCCCTGTCTTAGGTCAGTTAGGATCACCACTTTATTTTAAGAATGTGAAATGTCAGAATAATAGTAGAGAGAATGATTTATTTCAGCTTTTATTTCTTTCATCACATTCCCAGTGGGTCAGAAGTTTACATACACTCAATTAGTATTTGGTAGCATTGCTTTTAAATTGTTTAATTTGGGTAAAACGTTTCGGGTAGCCTTCCACAAGCTTCCCACAATAAAGTTGGGTGAATTTTGGCCCATCCTCCTGACAAAGCTGGTGTAACTGAGTCAGGTTTGTAGGCCTCCTTGCTCACACACACTTTCAGTTCTGCCCACACATTTTCAATAGGATTGAGGTCAGGGCTTTGTGATGGCCACTCCAATACCTTGACTTTGTTGTCCTTAAGCCATTTTGCCACAACTTTGGAAGTATGCTTGGGGTCATTGTCCATTTGGAAGACCCATTTGCGACCAAGCTTTAACTTCCTGACTGATTTCTTGAGATGTTGCTTCAATATAGCCACATAATTTTCCTTCCTCATGATGCCATCTATTTTGTGAAGTGCACCAGTCCCTCTTGCAACAAAGCACCCCCACAGCATGATGCTGCCACCCCCGTGCTTCACGGTTAGGATGGTGTTCTTCGGCTTGCAAGCAGCCCCCTTTTTCCTCCAAACATAACGATGGTCATTATGGCCAAACAGTTCTATTTTTGTTTCATCAGACCAGAGGACATTTCTCCAAAAAAGTACCCATGTGCAGTTGCAAACTGTAGTCTGGCTTTTTTATGGCGGTTTTGGAGCAGTGGCTTCTTCCTTGCTAAGCGGCCGTTCAGGTTATGTTGATATAGGACTTGTTTTACTGTGGATATAGATACTTTTGTACCTGTTTCCTCCAGCATTTTCACAAGGTCCTTTGCTGTTGTTCTGGGATTGATTTGCACTTTTCGCACCAAAGTACGTTCATCTCTAGGAGACAGAACGCGTCTCCTTCCTGAGCGGTATGATGGCTGCGTGGTCCTATGGTGTTTATACTTGCGTACTATTGTTTGTACAGATGAACGTGGTACCTTCAGGCGTTTGGAAATTGCTCCCAAGGATGAACCAGACTTGTGGAGGTCTACAATTCTTTTTCTGAGGTCTTGGCTGATTTCTTTTGATTTTCCCATGAAGTCAAGCAAAGAGGCACTGAGTTTGAAGGTAGGCCTTGAAATACATCCACAGGTACACCTTCAATTGACTAAAATGATGTAAATTAGCCTATCAGAAGCTTCTAAAGCCATGACATCATTATCTGGAATTTTCCAAGCTGTTTAAAGGCACAGTCAACTTAGTGTATGTAAACTTCTGACCCACTGGAATTGTGATACAGTGAATAAGTGAAATAATCTGTAAACAATTGTTGGAAAAATTACTTGTCATGCTCAAAGTAGATGTCCTAACCGACTTGCCAAAACTATAGTTGTTAACAAGAAATTTGTGGAGCGGTTGAAAAACGAGTTTTAATGACTCCAACCTAAGTGTATGTAAACTTCCGACTTCAACTGTATATATGTGTGTACCTGTCAAATGTTTTGGACACACCTACTCATTCAAGGGTTTTTCTTTATTTTTACTATTTTCTACATTGTAGAATAATAGTGAAGACATCAAAACTATGAAATAACACATATGGAATCATGTAACCAAAAAATATTTTATATTTGAGATTCTTCAAATAGCCACCCTTTGCCTTTGACAGCTTTGCATACTCTTGGCATTCTCTCAACCAGCTTCACCTGGAATGGTTTTCCAACAGTCTTGAAGTAGTTCCCACATATGCTGAGCCCTTGTTGGCTGCTTTTCCTTCGCTCTGCTGTCCCAAACAATCTCAATTGGGTTGAGGTCCAGGTCATCTGATGCAGCACTCCATCACTCTCCTTCTTGGTAAAATAGTGCTTACACAGCCTGGAGGTGTGTTGGGTCATTGTCCTGTTGAAAAACAAATGATAGTCCCACTAAGCCCAAACCAGATGGGATGGCGTATCTTTGCAGAATGCAGTGGTAGCCATGCTGGTTAAGTGTGCCTTGAATTCTAAATAAATCACAGTGTCACCAGCAAAGCACCATAACACCACCTCCATGCTTTACGGTGGGAACTACACATGCAGAGATCATCTGTTCACCCACACCGCGTCTCACAAAGACATGGCGGTTGGAACCAAAAATCTCCAATTTGGACTCCAGACCAAAGGACACATTTCCACCGGTCTAATGTCCATTGCTCGTGTTTCTTGGTCCAAGCAGGTCTCTTCTTCTTATTGGTGTCATTTAGTAGTGGTTTCTTTGCAGCAATTCGACCATGAAGGCCTGATTCACACAGTCCCCTCTGAACAGTTGATGTTAAGATGTGTCTGTTACTTGAACTCTGAAGCATTTATTTGGTCTGTTGTTTCTGAGGCTGATAACTCTAATGAACTTATCCTCTGCAGCAGAGTAAACTCTGGGTCTTCCATTCCTGTGGCGGTCCTCATGAGAGCCAGTTTCATCATAGCGCTTGATGGTTTTTGCGACTGCACTTGAAGTTTTTCCGTATTGATTGACCTTCATGTCTTAAAGTAATGATTGACTGTTGTTTTCTCTTTGCTTATTTGAGCTGTTCTTGTAATAATATTGACTTGGTCTTTTACCAAGTAGGGCTATCTTCTGTATACCCCCCCCCCCTACCTTGTCACAACTGATTGGCTCAAACGCATCAAGACAGAAATCCAAATTAACTTTTAAGAAGGCACACCTGTTAATTGAAATGCATTCCAGGTGACTACCTCATGAAGCTGGTTGAGAGAATGCCAATAGTGTGCAACGCTGTCATCAAGGCAAAGGGTGGCTACTTTGAAGAACCTCATGAAATATATTTAGATTTTGTTTAGCAATTTTTTGGTTACTGCATGATTCCATATGTTAATTCATAGTTTTGATATCTTCACTATTATTCTACAATGTAGAAAATAGTAAAAATAAAGAAAAACCCTTGAATGAGTAGGTGAGTCCAAACTTTTGACTGGTAGTGTGTGTGTGTGTGTGTGTGTATATATATATATACACACACACACACACACACACACACACACACACACACACACATATATATACACATACACACACTGTAGAGAACATATGTACGAAAAGGTGTTGTTGGTTCACTCTTATGTACTTGTTTAAGATGTTAGCAACTGTGGGAAAATGATGAAAGAGGATATCGCAACAATGCTTCAATGTTTTCTCTCTATTTTGTGTGTTCCTCCTGAAATTGTACCTTTGACAAAATACCTACTATATTTCACATTAGACTATCCTAACCAAAATATATCCATTAAAGAGACTTTGCGTCAAATAAAAGTCAACTATACTTGTAATAGTCTTTGTTAGAGGGGCCATCTTTCTGATGTTGGACAGGTTCACTATGTCAGTTCACGTAAACCGTGAATAAAATGGTCTCTGATCCAGGATTTTATTTAAAACCACAACAAACAAAACTATTGGGACATTTCTGCTCCTCGAACAATCCCTCAATATATTCTGTGACCACCAATACACATTTTGATTGGATAACAGCGTTTAAGGTCCTATATGTCATTGAAAGGTTTCTCATTCCAGAGTAATGACGATCCCATCATGTCCAGAACTCTTTAAGTAGTCTAGTGAACAGGGTGACACTGATGGCAGCAGCTGTTTTTTTACATAGAAAGAAATGCTGAAAATTGTTCCACAGCATCTCAGTGAGAATGGCAGAATCTAGAATCTACAGTAAACATTCTCAAAGAACCGTGACATACACCTCAGTGTTCTGAGTTGGACTGGTGCTGCCTTGGGACAGGTGGAGGACAGTATCGTAGAGGGACTGGCGTATGTAATCTAACCCTGTTCTGGTCAGGGGTGAGTCTGTTTCCTCTGACTGGCTTGACTGACCCTGGGGTTCCGATGATAATGACATAGTGGCTGGAACACACTGAGGCATAGCCTGTTGGAAGAGTTCCATGGTCGTGTAATCACTCATAAAGGACAACTGCGGGCACTGGTGGGCCGCCGTGCTAATGGGTACAGGGTCTGTCTGTCTTCTGTCTGTGGTAGGTTTAATGGTGTCAGAAGTGGGATCTTGATCTCTACTGTCTGTGGCTGTGTCTCTTCGGCACAAACCCATGCTGATTTGAGGGTCTACTTTAGTGGGCTCGGCAGAGTCTGCGGTTGTCTCTGAAGGCCCTTGATTGTCTTCGTGGTCTGTGTTGAGGTGTAGACACGAGTCACTGTTGCTATGGAGGTTGCTAACGGGAGACATATCTTCTCTTCTGTCAACAATGTGCAGACTGTTGGCGTCCACCTCCTCTTCCTCTAACTTCTGTCTGTTGATGGGCTCCAGGAGTTCCTACGATAATCAATCAATCTTTATTGTTCCGGAGGGGAAAAATCTAACAGCAACATGTCTGATCTGAGACATAAATGCAATAAATCTGTTCTGCATCATTACTCAATTTTTCTTACCAGCTTGTAGACCCCATCTATTTTCTGAATGGCATTGCTGTTACCAGGATTAGGGAGACTTGGCCAGAGTAGTCTCTTTGCTCTGAAAGTACAACAAATGACCATATAATTCATTCAAGTTTCCATTACTTGGATTCCATTGGGCAACAGTTAATAGAGCAACACTAACAGATATGAATACACCTTTGACTTAAAAACATGACGACCGTACCTTTTTAACAACCGAGAGCCGAGATTAACCACAAGTAAGAGTAAAGTTACTCCAATAATGACCCCTGCTATCATACCACTCATAGACAGGGATGCTGGGGAGGGAAAGCAGGCAGGACAGGTCCTTTAAATTAATACAAAATGGCATTCCAAATGTGGGATATCAGAGATTGTCATTAAAATATAACCACTGATGAAAGATCAAGATGCAAACCTGTTGACTTGGTTTCAAAGTATACAGCTGAGCTTCTCACTCCCATTCCTGCAGCAGTGAAGGCAGACAACTGGACCTGGTACACAGTATTGCTTTTTAGGTCCACCAACTCATAGCTGCTTGAACCAGCATCCACAGTGACGTCTGTTACAGTGAGAACAATAGTCAAAGTCAGTGAAGCATCAGAATAAGTAGTAGTAAGACCACAATAATCATTTTAAGGAAGTTACCATTTAAACAACAGTTCTCGTTTAAAACTTGAGCCTTTTGGGAACTAGATGTGGTAGTAATATCTGATAGTGTGCAGGAAGTCTTGACTTCTAAGAGTAACTGTACATACAGTGCATTTGGAAAGTATTCAGACCCCTTCACTTTTTCCACATTGTTACGTTACAGCCTTATTCTAAAATGGATTAAATTATTTATTTTCCTCATCAATCTACACACAACCAATAATGACAAAGCGAAAACAGGTTTTAGCAAATTTTTCCAAATGTATTAAAAATAAAACATACCTTATTTACATAAGTATTCAGACCCTTTGCTATGAGACTCGAAATTGAGATCAGGTGCATCCTGTTTCCATTGATCATCCTTGAGATGTTTCTACTACTTGATTGGAGTCCACCTGTGGTAAATTCAATTGATTGGACATGATTTGTGAAAGACACACCTGGCTATATAAAAAGGTCCCACAGTTGACAGTGCATGTCAGAGCAAAAACCAAGCCAAGAGGTTGAAGGAATTGTCCGTAGAGCTCCGAGACAGCATTGTGTCGAGGCACAGATCTGGGGAAGGGTACCAAAAAATGTCTGCAGCATTGAAGGTCCCCAAGAACACAGTGGCCTCCATCATTCTTAAATGGAAGAAGTTTGGAACCACCAAGACTCTTCCTAGAGCTGGCCGCCCAGCCAAACTGAGAAATACGAGGAGAAGGGCCTTGGTCAGGGAGGTGACCAAGAACCCGATGGTCACTGACAGAGCTCCAGAGTTCCTCTGTGGAGATGGGAGAACCTTTGCCAAAAGGCACCTAAAGGACTCTCAGACCATGAAAAACAAGATTCTCTGGTCTGATGAAACCAAGATTGAACTCTTTGGCCTGAATGCCAAGCGTCACGTCTGGAGGAAACCAGGCACCATTCATCACCTGGCCGATACCATCCCTACGGTGAAGCGTGGTGGCAGCATCATGCTGTGGGGATGTTTTTCAACGGCAGGGACTGGGAGACTAGTCAGGATTGAGGGAAAGATGAACGGAGCAAAGTACAGAGAGATCCTTGATGAAAACCTGCTCCAGAGCGCTCAGGACCTCAGACTGGGATGAAGGTTCACCTTCCAACAGGACAACGACCCTAAGCACACAGCCAAGACAAGGCAAGAGTGGCTTCGGGTCAAGTCTCAGAATGTCCTTGAGTGGCCCAGCCAGAGCCGGACTTGAACCCGATCTAACATCTCTGGAGAGACTTGAAAATAGCTGTGCAGCGACGCTCCCCATCCAGCCTGACAGAGCTTGATAGGATCTGCAGAGAAGAATAGGAGAAACTCCCAAAATACAGGTGTGCCAAGCTTGTAGCGACATACCCAAGAAAACTTGTGGCTGTATTCGCTGTCAAAGGTGCTTTAACAAAGGGTCTGAATACTTATGTAAATGTGAAATGGAAGTTCTTACTTTTTTACATTTGCAAACATTTCTAAAAACCTGTTTTCGCTTTGTCATTATGCGGTATTGTTTTTAAATCCATTTTAGAATAAGGCTGTAACGTAACAAAATGTGGAAAAAGTGAAGGGGTCTGGATACTAGCCACAAATTATAAAACCGTCTACGTGCCATGACATGTAAAAGACAGTAGGATAAGTTGCACACACTGTACTTTACTCTGCTCGCATTCTACGAATACTCACACTGCAAGTCTCTAAGGCCAGCATCAATTGGCTCCTTTTTGATTCATTCGATGTTCACAATCTTACTTGTTTCAGTGTCTGTTCCGTCCTGCGGGCTCTCTGTGTAGTGGAGGACGTAGCCCAGCAGGAAACCTCTGGTGTCCTCCTCAGGGACCGATGTCCACTTCAGCACCATGGAACTATGGGTAACATTACTGCTGCTGATGTTCCCTGGGGCACTAAGGGGGGCTGAGAGGAAAATACACTGAATCTGATCGCAATGCATTTATGATTAATTGGTTGGTGGGTGGGTGGTTGGTTGATTGATTGGGACATGCAGTTGCTCAAGCGGTCATATATGGTATGTACACTATAACATGTTAATAAGTACATGAAGTGGTTCCCTGTGTCTTTGCTTATGGTATGCGTTTGTGTGATGATCAGATGTCCCTAAATCTGAGGGTGGTTTTAACTAACTGGTTTCTATCAACTCGCCACCCAAGGCTTTTACTTGGGACATATTGTTAAATGCACTAAAGAGGAACAATGGGTACAGATTGAAGATGCACATGCTCACCCCCAGAATCTTTTCATGTATATGTTTTCAAAGGATGGAGCTAAGAAACATTAAGAACTTTGTAGTTAAGAACATTCTAACAACATAGAAGAAAATGAAGAAGAACCAATATCACTCCCTAAAAACACACCCCTATCGAACAATCCTTGGATAGGTTTTCAGAATTCACCGATAAATTGGCCCACATGGGAAACTAAAGGCACAGAAACCGTAAATGACGTGGTAATTGGAAATATAATATATGCAACTTAAAAGTTTTATATCACGAAATGTTGACCTAAAAGCTTTTGGACATCCGAGCAATGTTGAGGGAATCATATTTGAGTCCGAAAAATATACTCATATGATGGGTAATATACACAAAACCTTGTAGAGGTTGACAATCTCTTAGAAAAATATATAAACTATTGGAACCAAGACTTTAAAATAACTGATATTGGCACAAGATGGAGTGTTGGAACATAAACAAAATTACAGTTAACGAAAATGTATGCATAATCCAGTATAAACTAATGTATAGAATGTATTATTCCAAACCGTTAGGACGCTAGACGTTTGTGAGAAGACCGATTTTCAGCATGTCTCATGGTCTGACAAACACCGCTGTAGCTCGGCCACCTTCCACCGAGATAGGCGGATGTGGTGGACTGAGATGCAGCAAAAAACTGATACTGTATCTCTAGCTTAAACTGACAGATTCTGATGGGGATTTTTGTATTATGCTACTTAGATTGACGTCAATAGACTCTTAAGGATTAAATATGGGAAAGAATCTGGCTACAGACAAACAACATCACACATTTTGAAGTTATATGGGGCAAAGTCTTACAAGCATTAGAAACGATGTATGTTTTTGTTTATTGTAAAAAATCAAAATATTTATTGTATATAAAAAAGAAAATTCAGACTCACATCCTTCAGTGAAGTAGGCCTGGACCCTCCCGTAGGTGCTCTCGCTGTTGTTGATGAACTTCAGGTTGCAGGGCTCTTTGTCTGGCCTCGTGTGCAGAGTGAAGGTGTACCTCTTATACAGCTCTAATGGCTCTTTAGTTCATACAACAAGATGGGGAAACATCTTTGATTAAGTCAAACTGGATTTGTGGGAGGGAGCTCATAACTGTTAAACATGCAATGTCTGTGTAGTTCTGGTTATGATAATGTGCTGTATCAATCAGAATATGTGAATTCTGTTGTTTTCATGTTAACACAGGAAAGAGAGGTATGTACCCTACCCTGCAATGGTATGACTTTATAATTGTTCTCATCCTCATAGAAGGACTTGTGAGCAGCTTTGTTTCCTCTCTTCCACCACTCCACTGAGAAGCAGGAGTAGGTTTTGATCAGGTCATCCACCCAGGAAACAGTAAAGGACGTGTTGCAATTGAATGTCACATTCAGCTTCCCATATAAGTCTGTAGAGACAAACCAAACAACACGTCATAGTCCTTTCTCCTGCATCTGAGATATCTCCGAGACATCCCACTTCAACAGACTGATACCATGCTGCTACACATGAGAGCAACTAGTAAGGTCATTCTAATGCAACATCATAACTTACTCATAACTCATAATACTGCTCAAGCAACATAGTGAATACATTCTGACATGGCCGGAGTCTGTGATCCCTGTATTCGAGGATAGCAAAACAGTAGATAGGTGTTTCTACCTTTGTCGTCCAGTGGCTGTATAGTGCTCTGTGCTGCAGGTGAGGTCCCAGCCCCATTGAGAGCTGTGATTTTGAGGTGGTATGCTGAGTGAGACAGGGTCACTATGAGTAGGGGCCTGCTGGTGTTGAAGGTCTCAATGGGGTCCTCTCCTGAGGCCTTCCCCACAGAAACACTGTAGCCCTCCGCTAACTCACTGGCTGCAAACTAACATGTACAGGACAATGGTAGGATCAAGCTTTATATTATACATATTATAGTAACATTAGGAGCAGCCTCAATTCGTCGGGGCATGGACTCTACAAGGTGTCGAAAGCGTGCCACAGGGATGCTGGCCCATGTTGACTACAATGCTTTCCACAGTTGTGTCAAGTTTGCTGGATGTCCTTTGGGTGGTGGACCATTCTTGATACACACAGGAAACGTGTATAGGTGCGCCTGACACCCACTACCATAACCCGTTCGAAGGGCACTTGCATTCATCCTCTGAATGGCACACATACACAATCCATGTCTCAATTGTCTCAAGGCTTAAAAATCATTCTTTAACCTGTCTCCTCCCCTTCATCTACATTGGGTGAAGTGGATTTAACAAGTGACACCAGTAAGGGATCATAGCTTGGATTCAACTGGTCAGTCTATGTCATGGAAAGAGCAGGTGTTCTTAATGTTTTGTATACTCAGTTTATCATGTAGTGCAATAAACTGTTCACTTTTATAACTGTCTACCTACATCAGTTTACTCACAAACTTACTATTTTCACATATTTTTAATTTGCACATTGTAAGGTTAAGTTACTCATGGGGAAATTAATTACCTTCCATTTTATGATCACTAATCTCCTCCCTTTGGTTTGTGGACGACTATCTTTTACCATCTCAATGACAGGCGTATCAGTAAGTTCTTAGAAAAGAGAAGAAAAGAAATGGACACAATGGACACATTTTGCTTATTTGATGTTGTAAATCAGTAGAGTGGACAATTGATTAAGCCTATTTCTGGATCCCAGATTTTAGTTTTAGGTAAAAGGTAAACTCACCCGGTGGGACAGTGAAAGCCTCGCTCCAGGGGCACTGTGTACATTTATTGTTGGCCACACACTGTATCTGCACCTCATAGGACAGTGAGGAGTTAAGATTACCCACAGTGCACCTATTTATATTCTTGGATTGCACTGGTAGCTATAAAAAACATAAATAAGAGGTTAGGTTTGTATAACTTTTTTTGTTTGTTGCATTGGTCTTTTCCAGTCTTGGACTACTAGGGCTGGTTTCCCAGACACAGATTAAGCCTAACCCTAGACTAAAAAGCACTTTAAATGGAGATTCTCCATTGACTAAGCTTAATCTGTGTCTGGGACTAGTCTTATTTTGTGTCCGGGAAACCGTCCCCAAGAGTTTCACTATTCACGCCAGTTTGTTTCAAGTCGATAAGCCATCTCTGGCTTGCGAAAGTATTCATCCCCCTTGGCATTTTTCCTACTTTGTTGCCTTACAACCTGGAATTAAAATGGTTTTTTTGGGGGTTTGTATCATTTGATTTACACAACATGCCTACCACTTTGAAGATGCAACATCTTTTTTCTTGTGAAACAAACAAGAAATAAGACAAAAACAGAACTTGAGCGTGCATAACTATTCACCCCCCCAAAGTCAATACTTTGTAGAGCCACCTTTTGCAGTAATTACGGCTGCAAGTCTCTTGGGGTATGTCTCTATAAGCTTGGCACATCTAGCCACTGGGATTTTGCCCATTCTTCAAGGCAAAACTGCTCCAGCTCCTTCAAGGTGGATGGGTTCCGCTGGTGTTCAGCAATCTTTAAGTCTTATTAAAGATTTTCCCTCAAGAATTTCCCTGTATTTAGCGCCATCCATCATTCCTTCAATTCTGACCAGTTTCCCAGTCCCTGCCGATGAAAAACATCCCCACAGCATGATGCTGCCACCACCATGCTTCACTGTGGGGATGGTGTTCTCGGGGTGATGAGAGGTGTTGGGTTTGCGCCAGACATAGCATTTGCCTTGATGGCCAAAAAGCTCAATTTTAGTCTCATCTGACCAGAGTACCTTCTTCCATATGTTTGGGGAGTCTCCCACATGTGTTTTGGCGAACACCAAACGTGTAATTTTTTTCTTTAAGCAATGGCTTTTTTCTGGCCACTCTTCCGTAAAGCCCAGCTCTGTGGAGCTCCTTCAGGGTTATCTTTGGTCTCTTTGTTGCCTCTCTGATTAATGCCCTCCTTGCCTGTTCCGTGAGTTTTGGTGGGCGGCTTGTTGTGGTGCCATATTCTTTCCATTTTTTAATAATGGATTTAATGGTGCCTTTGCAACGCCAAGGTTGTGGGTTCGATTCCCACGGGGGGCCAGTATGAAAATATATGCACTCACTAACTGTAAGTCGCTCTGGATAAGAGCGTCTGCTAAATGACTAAAATGTAAATGTAAAAATGTTCAGTGTTTCTGATATTTCTTTATAACCCAACCCTGATCTGTACTTCTCCACAACTTTGTCCCTGACCTGTTTGGAGAGCTCCTTGGTCTTCATGGTGCCGCTTGCTTGGTGGTGCCCCTTACTTAGTGGTGTTGCAGACTCTGGGGCCTTTCAGAACAGGTGTATATACAGTGAGGGAAAAAAGTATTTGATCCCCTGCTGATTTTGTACGTTTGCCCACTGACAAAGAAATGATCAGTCTATAATTTTAATGGTAGGTTTATTTGAACAGTGAGAGACAGAAAAACAACAAAAAAATCTAGAAAAATGCATGTCAAAAATGTTATAAATTGATTTGCATTTTAATGAGGGAAATAAGTATTTGACCCCCTCTCAATCAGAAAGATTTCTGGCTCCCAGGTTTCTTTTATACAGGTAACGGGCTCAGATTAGGAGCACACTCTTAAAGGGAGTGCTCCTAATCTCAGTTTGTTACCTGTATAAAAGACACCTGTCCACATAAGCAATCAATCAAATTCCAAATTCTCCACCATGGCCAAGACCAAAGAGCTCTCCAAGGATGTCAGGGACAAGATTGTAGACCTACACAAGGCTGGAATGGGCTACAAGACCATCGCCAAGCAGCTTGGTGAGAAGGTGACAACAGTTGGTGCGATTATTCGCAAATGGAAGAAACACAAAATAACTGTCAATCTCCCTCGGCCTGGGGCTCCATGCAAGATCTCACATCGTGGAGTTGCAATGATCATGAGAACGGTGAGGAATCAGCCCAGAACTACACGGGAGGATCTTGTCAATGATCTCAAGGCAGCTGGGACCATAGTCACCAAGAAAACAATTGGTAACACACTACGCCGTGAAGGACTGAAATCCTGCAGCGCCCGCAAGGTCCCCCTGCTCAAGAAAGCACATATATACAGGGCCGTCTGAAGTTTGCCAATGAACATCTGAATGATTCAGAGGAGAACTGGGTGAAAGTGTTGTGGTCAGATGAGACCAAAATCGAGCTCTTTTGGCATCAACTCAACTCACCGTGTTTGGAGGAGGAGGAATGCTGCCTATGACCCCAAGAACACCATCCCCACCGTCAAACATGGAGGTGGAAACATTATGCTTTGGTGGGCACATTAAGTTCCTGGAGTGGCCTAGCCAGTCTCCAGACCTTAATCCCATAGAAAATCTGTGGAGGGAGCTGAAGGTTCGAGTTGCCAAAAGTCAGCCTCGAAACCTTAATGACTTGGAGAAGATCTGCAAAGAGGAGTGGAACAAAATCCCTCCTGAGATGTGTGCAAACCTGGTGGCCAACTTCAAGAAACGTCTGACCTCTGTGATTGCCAACAAGGGTTTTGCCACCAAGTACTAAGTCATGTTTTGCAGAGGGGTCAAATACTTATTTCCCTCATTATAATGCAAATCAATTTATAAAATTTTTGACATGCATGTTTCTGTATTTTTTTGTTGTTATTCTGTCTCTCACTGTTCAAATAAACCTACCATTAAAATTATAGACTGATCATGTCTTTGTCAGTGGGCAAACGTACAAAATCAGCAGGGGATCAAATACTTTTTTCCCCTCACTGTATACACACACTGAGATCATGTGACATTTAGATTGCACACAGGTGGACTTTATTTCACTTCTGAAGGTAATTGGTTACACCAGATCTTATTTAGGGGCTTCATAGCAAAGGGGGTGAATACTTATGTACGCACCACTTTTCCATTATTTATTTTTTCATTTTTTTCATTTCACTTCACCAATTTGGACTATTTTGTGTATGTCCATTACATGAAATCCAAATAAATCAATTTAAATTACAGGTTGTAATGCAACAAAATAGGAAAAAACGCCAAGGGGAATGAATACTTTTGGAAGGCACTGTATGAGCTGCAGGCAGTACATTACATATCTGACTTTTGAAGCCCACCTCTTTCCATGGCAGGCTGTTCAGCTCCTTGTATCTCACAGAGTAAAGGGGGATATATTTGGTCTCTTCCTTCCTCCAGGAGACCTGGATATCCAACTTTCTTGAATGGCGATTGAAGTGTACATTAGATGGGGGGCCGCATCGAACTACAATTTTAAGACAACATAGGCTATGTGATAAATTATCATTGTTATACTGTTATACTATATTTTGTGTATAACAATATAGAGGTAGGACTGGTCATATCACATCTTATGGTTGCTGTAAACCCATAGGCTACCCTTCTATCACATAGTGGAAGGGAATAGATGCATACTGTAGGTCCCGTGTAGCTCAGTTGGTTGAGCATGGCGCTTGCAACGCCAGGGTTGTGGGTTCGATTCCCACAGGGGGCCAGTATGAAAAATAAGTAAGTCGCTCTGAATAAGAGCATCTGCTAAAATGACAAAAAAATTACATAAACGTACCCAATTGTTGAGGTGAACCTCTGAAAACAGTCTTCGTGCAACTCTTCGAATCACTCTCGTCAAATACATGAGCTATCATGTAAAGCTTTTTGGACAGCTTAATAGTCTGAGACGTCCCCAGTATGTTTGCATGCATTTTGATATACTTTTTCCTGTGAAGAATATCAAATTGAATAAGATTTAGTAGTTCATTAATTTGATTTAAAAAATGTATATCTTGTCTTCAGTGCACCCTTAAATGCAAACAATCAAATTATATAACTACAGAGATACATTCAATTAGCCTACTGTGTGTTCTACATAACTTACTGTTCTGTACAGAGTGTGTATCTGTGTGTTTGTTGTTTTCCAGGTGTCCACACACATTTCCAGCCGATCATACTGAGGCCCAGATGTTTACCAAAGCAATCTAATTCACGGACTCCCTCTGAAAGGAAAGGTTCAAAAGAGCAAATAGATTATATTATAATAACATTTAACCAACCCCATCAACTGCAACTGAACCACAACTTGGTTTTTGGAATAGTTGTGTCATTACCTTGGGATGTGACACAGTGTTCATAACATGAAGAGATGTTCTTGCACCTACAGGTCACTGAAATGTACAGTATTGTCAATACATCATGTATCAAAACAAACATTTAATGGTGTTACAACGTAAATACTTTGTAAAACAAATCTCACATACTGAATGTGAAAATGTAAATGACAAACTTAAAAAAAATGTTTTATTATGTTGTGTAGAGTGGTGCTATAACTACGTGGCACGGAAGGAAATAGTGTTATTGTTACAGCAATACCATATAAATTGTGTAGTGCTGTTACTGTAGCCTCCAGACAACAATTACAGTAACATGGGTCCACACCCATGTCCTCTGGGTGCCTACTCTGGTGCCTAAAATAAGATCAGCTTTGTTGCATAACTCATGCAAGAGGGTGATGGGTCAATTAAAACACATTTCTTACTTTTGCCATCTTCCAAAAAGACCACTGGACATACAGTATATATTACATATAATATCAGATGGTTTCCTATTTTCCAAACCCTAATTGGTGGAGAACTTTTGAAGGAAGCATGCACTGCAATTCTGTTTTATTTTAAACAGTGTTTTGTCTGGAAACCATAGTTCAAACATACCTGGAGAAACTTGGATTGTGGAAGAGAGTGGGGTAAAATATCCAAAGAGAACACCTAGACAAAGAAAGACAGCACCAGGGCTCGACATTAATGCTTGTTCGCTTGTCCGGGACAGGTAAAAAAAGAATGTTGGACAAGAAGAATATAAATGTAAGTTGTCCGAATGGACAAGTTAAAAAAAGCACACAACAATCCCAATATCAAGCAATAACTGTGATCAGAATTGGATCAAAGTGTGCACTCTTCTCCCAGTCTCTGCACATCGGAGTTGAATGTTGGTGAGGTGTAGCTTACAATGCTCCAAGGGTTAGTGCTATCCAGAATCCTTGGGACAACCCTACCCTAAACCCTAACTGCTACTCCTTGCCCTAACCCAGTGGCATACAGCAGTTTCGCAGGGCCCCCAACAAACCATGATTTCTTTGGATTTTAACATTTTGGGTGGTGGGAGGAACAGAGAGAATTTTGCATTTTTAAAGCTAATTTCATGCAATTCTACACATATTGCCATGGGGCAGAGTGAAACATTTGCAGTTTTATAGCTAATCTCATGCTATTCTACACATTTTGCCATGCTGCTGAGATAATTTGAAGATTTACAACTAAAAAAATTATCTAATCAATAGACTAGCTTTTCGAGCTGACTGCCCGGGGAATGGGAGCACACATAGTGTATGCTACAATGATTAGGCTTATAAGTTTGTTTGTTTTTTCGGGTGGGGGGGGGCCTCCTGGAGGTAGGTGCCCCGGGGCCCCAGATGTGCTAGTCCAGCCCTGCTTATTTCAATTTATTTTCTTTACTAATAGCCTATTGGAGGAGAGATGCATGCTTGATTTTGCTTTCTGAATATAAAATAGGCTACAGAGGCACGGGGAGTTGGAAAGGAGAAGGCCTACTTTAGGAAAATATGGGCCATCTTAACACTGATAGGCTACATCCTGACAAATTACACCATATGTACCTTTCTGGACTTTCTAAATTGTCGAGAATAGACCCAAACTGATCTAAATAGTTGCATAATCAGGCCTAGGCTGTATGCTGTTATTTCGGCATGAAACAAAACAGGATGTTTGAGCAGTTATTCAAATTCCTCATTGCACTGTGTTGTAATTTTCTTGTCTCTAAAAATGTAGGCCTTGCCCTAATCAATAGTGGAGCTTTGTGTGGCCGGGTACGACAGAGCATAGCCTGGAGGAACACACAGATCTGCCATTTCATAATCTGTTCACTGTTTTTTCTTGCACTTGGACAGGTAAATATTTAGCCTATAGCCCTAATATTTAGCTAATGAATGGCCCAATATCTAGCTAATATTTACTTCTTGCTTTAGCTTCTTACCTCTTCCAGCTGTTCCCATGCACAATAGGATATAGGCTACGCAAGTCTCTCCGCAATAGGCCATTCCTCTTCTCGTGAAATCCCAGGAAAAGCATATAACATTTATTTTGATAATTTTTTATACTAGGCCTAATAGCCTATTCGGGGAAAGAAGCAGTTTGCTCTTGCTAATTGCTGAATGTAAAACAGGCCTACAGCATAGGCCAAATTAAAGGTGCAATATGCAGAAATCACTCCACCATTTCCTGGTTGATTAAATTCTAACAGCAGCTTGCTCTTGATAATTGCTGAATGTAAAACATGGACTCTACAAGGTGTTGAAAGCGTTCCACAGGGATGCTGGCCGATGTTGACTCCAATGCTTCCCACAGTTGTGTGAAGTTGGCTGGATGTCCATTGGGTGGTGGACAATTGAACTGGTGCACCTGGCACATACTACCCTACGCCGTTCAAAGGCACTTCAATCTTTTGTCTTGCCCATTCACCCGCTGAATGGCACACATACAGAATCCATGTTTGAATTGTCTCAAAGCTTAAAAATCCTTCTTTAACCTGTCTCCTCCTCTTCATCTACACTGATTGAAGTGGATTTAACAAGTGACACCAATAAGGGATCATAGCTTTCAACTGGATTCACCTAGTCAATCTATGTCAGTGGTTCCCAACTCCAGTCCTTGAGTACCTCCAACAGGACACATTTTTGTTGTACCCCTGGACAAACATACCTGATTCAACTCATTGAGGGCCTGATGATTAGTTGACAAGTTGAATCAGGTGTGCTTGTCCGGGGCTACAATAAAAATGTGTATTGTTGGGGGTACTCGAAGACTGGAGTTGGGAACCGCTGGTCTATGTCTTGGAAAGTGTTCCTAATAATTTTATACACTCAGTCTATAGTGTAGAGAATCATTGTATCATAACCGCTGTGAAATATATTTACAATAACCAAAAATATTATATTTTCAGCTGTTTGAATCTGGTGTACAAAAACGAAATTAAAAGATGCAAAAACGAAACTTAAGAATGGGAAGCATAGAAATAGCGCACATAGAACAGATCTACCGCACATAGAACAGATCTACCGCACATAGAACAGATCTACCGCACATAGAACAGATCTACCGTACATAGAACAGATCTACCGCACATAGAACAGATATACCGCACATAGAACAGATCTACCGCACATAGAACAGATATACCGCACATAGAACAGATATACCGCACATAGAACAGATCTACCGCACATAGAACAGATATACCGCACATAGAACAGATCTACTGCACATAGAACAGATATACCGCACATAGAACAGATCTACCGCACATAGAACAGATATACCGCACATAGAACAGATCTACCGCACATAGAACAGATCTACCGCACATAGAACAGATCTACCGCACATAGAACAGATATACCGCACATAGAACAGATATACCGCACATAGAACAGATCTACCGCACATAGAACAGATCTACCGCACATAGAACAGATATACCGAACATAGAACAGATCTACCGCACATAGAACAGATCTACCGCTTCTTCAACTTGCTATAACTCACATGCTGTATCTATGTGAATTTGGTTGGGTCGTCCAAAAAGTTACATATTGCAGCTTTAACAGTCTGGGAAAGTTGAGGAGAGAAAATGTGTTGGTGTGATCAATTTTGGCCAGTTATGATAACATTGTTGCACTGCAAATAGGCCTAGTTGCATAGGACAGACAGAGGGATGACTACAGTGAAAAAGAAAACCCAACAGAATTGACAACCATTAGAAAAACACTTGCAAACCTCTTGAGCAACGACATGCTAAACTACATTTGTTGTTGAATTGCTACATTTAAATAGTTCCTATATTATTTTTCATTAGGCCTACATGTACATTGAAGTATTATTTGCAGCTGTCACAATGAATACACCCTGAAAGGTCTTGTGTTGCCACCTTATTAATAGCCAGCATGCAGTACATTTCAGTCATTTAGCAGAGGCTATTAACCAGAGAGACTTACAGTAGTACTTTTGCATACTGGTCCCCCATGGGAATCAAACCCACAACCTTAGTGTTATAAACACCATGCTCTACCAACTGAGCCACACAGGACCGTTGATTGACAGATGTAGGATAGTAGAATGATAAACGATCAAGTGTAATAGTGTGGATGCTCACCAACATTTTATAGTTATTTAGCCTGTAGTTTATTGTTATTGGTGGTAGCCTGGGAAGCCGCTAGTGGGCGCTATGGATCTCCACTATCATCTAGGTTTGATTATGTGCCAAGCCTGTAATACACCAGTGTCACCCGGCGACTGGTTCTTACAGAAAACATTCTCCATTCAGGCTGCAAAGGCTTCAATTTGGCCTTAACTCAATTTCTTTATGAAACACAATTTTCCACTGGCTAATGCCTAGGAATAATAGTCCCGGGTGTTACGTATCGCGTTCAGCTAATCAGGCTGTAGCAGTCTGTTGTTTACCCCTGGCTGAATGCAGGGTGCAACATAAAGTAGAGCCACTCTAGAAAATGAGGTGGATACCAGTTAGCATAATTATCTGGTTTGTAAAGTTTAAAAAATATGCTCAAATCCGACCTGAATCGCCACAATGTCTGCTAAAATAAGCTACCCAATTTCATGCTTGGTTAGTGTAGACATTTATAAGCGAAAGTGAATCATCAATTATATAAAAAACGAAGTTGAAATCAACTAGGCTGGTGAACACCAAGTCTGTGTGCATGACCGGAGAAGCAATGGCATGACCACTGCTTGATAGATTGTTTACTGAGTTGCTACAGATTGTTAACGCAACGGCAGAGACTGGGCCACTGCTACAGCACTAGCCTGTGTACCAGTCTCTTTAGCTAACCCACTCCAAGGGGCCAGGGTTCCGGTCTAGAAGCACGGTTTCGATAGCCTGGGTACCAGTCTCTTTAGCTAACCCACTCCCTGTACTCCATGTCAGTTAGTTGTGGCAAAGAGACTGGCCTTTCTGCCATCTTCAAATTTGAACATACTATCATTAATGAGCTCGAGGAGAACAGATGATTTGGTCCTGATTTAATCACCCTCACAGCTATCCCCCAATCACAATGATTATGCAAA